AGGGGCCGTTCCCGCTGCCGGAGCCCGGCCCGTGGACGCGGGTGCGGGTCCTGCCGGGCCCCCGCTTCTTTCCAGCCTGGGCCACTTCAGGGTCCGGGTGCTCCTGGCACTGCCTTGGCGCGGTGCCGGGGCCCGGTGCTGCTGCCGGACCCTTCCCGGGGCTCTGGCTGCTCCTGCTCCGCTCTAAACCCGTGAGCGGACTGGGAGGGGACACAGGGGACACGGGACATACCCAGCCGAGTGTCCCCGCGGGGCAGTGGGTCCTGGGTGGCCACCCAGCACTGCCCCCGCAGCCCTGCACGTTCCCGTGCTGGTCCCATCCCGCTCCAAACCAAACAGCAAAGCCCCAAACCACCATTTTCCCCCAGTATTTTTTCCCTTTGCTGGATGCTTTTCAGCCAAAAATTTAGGAAATGCAAACGGCCAAGAGGACTTGTGTCACTCGGTATGTGGAAACGATGCCATGGGACACTGACATCCTTTTCCAGCATCAAGCAAAGCAGGGAAAGATAAGTAAAATTAAAGCAAAACTGTAAATGCCCATGCATATTCCCTCCAAGCCCAGTATTTTTCCACTGGAAATAACCCCAAAAAAGCTGGAGGTGGGGGATGCTTTGCTCTCCCACACCCCTATCTCTGCATTTTGCGCCAGGGAAGCTCAACCCGGTGGCTTCACTTGCAGCTGCTAAAGTGATTTTGCAGGCAGTTTGGCCGGAGCTGCTGGCGCAGGCAGGCAAGTTGGGGTTTTAACCCACTCCCAGCCCTAAAACAGGCTTTGAAAGCCAGCAAAGATTTTTCCAAGTGTGTCTTGACTGTTTACTTGGATGTGAGCATCTTGGTGACACTGGCAAGTTTGTGTTGCAGCATCCTGGGATCTGTGGCTTTTGCCCTTGCAAAAATCCAACCTCCTTGGCCCAGCGTATGTCACCTAAGGACATGGGCAGTGACCCATCTCTGTGGGCCATGGACCATCCTCCTGGCACCCTTCTCCTCCAGCTCTGTGTTTCCAGCCTGGTCCAGGGTGCCTGGCTGTGCCCAAAGAGCTCCCATTTTCAAGATGGGTCAGATGGAGGAAAGTGGTTGCCCCATGCTGTGAACTGAGACCTGGAGACTCATTGCATGAGTGGCTCCAGGTGCTAGGCAAGCACAGTGTGCCCTGTGGTGGGCACTGGTGTGGCCGAGTAGTCCCTGCTCCCTGGGCCTCTGCACGTGGCCACATCCCTGCAGGTGAGTCCAGCACATCCTGGAGCACAAGGTAAAGCCTTCTGGGGCAAACCTAACCATTTTGGGGTTTCTGTCTGCTGGGCCAGGTGGCATCACTGAGGAGCTGTGCTGTCATGGCTGGGGGTGGCACAGAAGATGCCAACTCCGTCCCAGGAGTAGCATCAAACTGTAGTACCATAGAATCATAGAATATCTCCAGTTGGAAGGGACCCATAAGCATCATCGAGTCCAACTCCCTGATGCTCGCAGTACTACCTAAAACTAAATCATATGTCTAAGAGTGTTGCCCAGGTGCTCCTTGAACTCTGATGGGCCTGGTGCCGTGACCATTTCCCTGAGGAGCCTGTTCCAGTGACTGATGATCCTCTCAGTGAAGAACCTTTTCCTAACGTCCAGGCCGAACTTCCCCTGACGCAGCTTCATCCCACTTCCCCGTGTCCTACAGCTGGTCACCAGAGAGAGGAGATCAGCACCTCCCCCTCCGCTGCCCCCCTGGAGGAAGTTATAGACTGTGATGAGGTCACCCCTCAGTGTTAATGTCACCCCTCAGCAATGAGGTCACCCCTCAGCCTTCTCCAAGTGACCTCAGCCACTCCTCATAAGTCTTGCCCTCGAGACCCTTCACCATCTTGGTCACATTCTGGACACACTCTGATAGTTTGATGTCCTTCTACTATCGAGGTGCCCAAAACTGCACCCAGTACTTGAGGTGGGTCTGCACCAGTGCAGTGTAGAGTGACAGTCACCTCCCTCGACCATCTAGTGATGCTGTGCTTGATGCACCCCAGGACAAGGTCAGCCCTTTGGGCTGTCAGGGCACATTGTTATCTCATATTCAACTTGCCATCAACCCAACCCCCTAGATTTCTTTATGCAGGGCTGCTCTCCAGCCTCTCATCCCCCAATTTGTACGTATAACCAGGATTACCCCATCCCAGGTGGAGAATCCATCACTTGCTCTTATTAAATTTCACACGGTTGGTGGTTGCCCAGCTCTCTAGTCTGCCCAGATCTCTCTGTAAGGCCTCTCTATCCTTGTGGTAGTACACAGCCCCTCCTAGTTTGTTATTGTTGGGAAATTTACTTAATGTACATTTGACTCCTGCATCCACATCATTTATAAAAATAGCAAAGAGCACTGGCCCTAAAATCGAGCCTTGGGGAACCCCACTCATGACTGGCCACCAGCCTGATGTGACCCCATTTACTATATCTGTTTGAGCCCAACCCGTCAGCCAATTGCTTGCCCAATGTATTATGAACTTGTCCAGCTGGGTGCTGAACAATTTATCCAGAAGGATGCTGTGAGAGGCAGTATCAAAAGATTTGCTAAAATACAAAACCACCACATCTACTGGCTTCCCTTGGTCAACTTTATGGGTGACTTTGTCATAAAAGGAAACTGAGTGGGTCAAGCAGGACTTTCTCCTTGTGAACCCATGTTGGCTATGACCGAAGACTACAGTGTCTCTCAAGTATTTTTCAGTAACTCCCAGAATAATCTCACAAATTTTACCAGGCACTGAAGTGAGACTTGACTGGCCTGTAATTACCAGAGTCTTCCTTCTTACCCTTCTTGAAAACTGGGACAACATTTGCCAGCTTCCAGTCAGCTGGGACCTCGCTGGACTCCCAAGACCATTGAAAAGTAGTGGAGAGAGGTCCCACGATGCCATCAGCCAGCTCCTTTGGTACCCTGGGATGAAACCCATTGGGACCTATACCCTCATGTGCACCCAGTTGGAGCAGCAAGTCTCAAACAAGTTCGAGGTTGGCTGGGAGGTGATCATCCCTTCAGTCATGGTCTTCCAACACAGGGCTCCGGCAGTCCCAGGGCTCATATCAGTGTTGAAGACAGAAGCAAAGAAAGCCTTAAACATCTCTGCTTTGTCTATGTTCCTATTCATGAGGTGACCGACCTCATCAAGCAGTAGACCAATGCTATCTCTGATCCTTTTTTTTCAGTTAACATATTTTAAAAGCCCTTTTTTTTGTTGTCCTTCACAGTACTGGCCAGCTTGAATGCTAAAATCAAGCTTTGGCCACATGAATGCTCTCCCTACAGCAGTGAAGAGGATCTCCATAGTCCTTCCGCATTGCCTGTCCTTGCTCCCGATGCCCATATGCTTTCCTTTTCCACCTGAGTCCTAGCAGCAGACCCCTGTTCAGCCGTGCCAGCCTTCTGTCCCCCTGGCTTGACTTCCCACACATCAAACTGTGCCATGTCTTTTCTCCCCTTGGAGCCCAGCTCCCTGCCCGGTGGCACCACAGTGGTGCCAGGGCAGCTGTAGCAGTCAGCCAGGGTCCTCAGCATGAGAGAGCAGGGGTTGCTGATGGGCTGGTGGTCAGGAGAAGCTCATTAGCAGCAGAGGTTTATTATATCAAACCTGCCTGGGGAGCAGGGTGTCTCTGGGTCATGCTGAATTGCAGACATCTACCATGCCCTTGGGGTTTGGCAGTGCCAGAGATGCTCTGCCTTGCCCCGGTACCTCACCAGGATGTGAAAAAGAGAAAGCAAAAGGAAATTTAAAAGCTCTCTTGATTTAATCGGCTCATCTGCATACAAACACTTCCTTTTCTGCTGCCCCAACTGCTGCTCAGGCAGAGCTGATCTCACCGAAGTGCTGCTAACACCGAGAGCTGCCCGTGCCCAAGGTAGGGTGTTCATTGGAGTGAGGGGGGGATGCAGGAGGCTGCCATGGCACTGGGGGCTCACTGGGGTGCCGAGCTGCTCCCCACAGAGGCAAAACCCACTCAAAGTGACATCCACTCCCTGCCATTTCTGGAGGGCGCAGCAAGGGAATGATGCCCTCTTTGGCTTGGTGGTGGCAAGGGTGGCATTCAGCATTGCCAGGCAGGGGAGGTCAGGCCAAGCGCCTGCATCGGGGAGCCCCAGGGATCTGAGGGGGGGGACGCCGTGTCTGTCCCTCTCTGGGGCTTGGAGGGCAGCACGGCGCTGCCCACTGTGCTGCTGCTCCTGCCCTGGGAGGCTCTGGCTGCGTTTCCCATCACCAGCCTCAGCGTCTCAAAGCATCAACCCCTATCGCTGCATCCACAGTAAAAAAACATTTGTGCCTCCTCTCCCTGGCTGCTTTTCGTGCCAGCAGCTTCACCTCAGTGGGTGCTGCTGCTAGCGTCACTGGGTGCGGTGTTGCAACGGATGCAATTCTTGCTGTCAGGCACCTTCCCCCCACCCTGCACTGGGGATGCTTCCTCCTCCCCAGCTTGGTGCTGGGCTGCTGCTGGAAGCCCCGGCCCCATGGTGGAGCATTTCAGGGACTCCTCTGGCTTGCAAGCTGCTTGCTGGGGATTTGCAGCCCCGAGCTGGGAGGGCAGCGAGGTCCGAGTCCGTGTTGGGGGCAGGAAGGCAGAAGCCTTGCTCCCTCCGTTTTACAACCTTAATGGTAAAACAGATGCAAAGGGCATCTTGCACCCCAGTCACTGTGGCAAACGCTCTCCTCACCCTGCTGTCAGTGCAGCTGCTTGGTGCTTCTGGGCTGGGGCTTTGCCACCACAACGGTTTTGGTGGGGCATGGCTGCTGGCAGTGGGGGGAAGTCGCCAGGACCCCATCTTTGTCCTGCAGCCAGTGCATGGGAAAGGGCCAAGGTGCCCCCTGGGTGGGGGCTCTGGGGAGCTGCCCAGGTCCTGGGTGCCTTTTGCAGGAGATGACCATGGCAATGCCCACCCCATCGCTCATCTCCCTTGTCCTCTGCCTCACCACCTGTGTCCTGCAGACTCAAGGTAGGGACATCTTCCATCCCAGCATTGGGCTGAGCACTTTTGGGGTGTTAGGGCTCCCCGGGCTGGGGTGGGATTGAGAGTGGGGCAGGGTGCTGTACACCGAGGTTCAGGTCCCAAAATGGCTCCATCAGAGCTGGAGACAGAAGTGGTCGCCCTGGAGAGGAAGATGGAGCAGGCCTGTGGCAGAACCCACCACCCCGGGCAGTTGTGAGTGCCAGCTTTGACCCCACTGTCCCCTGGACACCCCACATCCCCCCAGACCCACAGGGGCCAGATCCTGCTGCCCCCTGCCCCAAACACCCTCCCTGTGCAGGTTAAAATCGCTGGAGGAGCAGCTGGCCCGCTGGGAGAAATACAACTTCACGGGTAGCATGATCGAGGTCTACGTGTTCAAGTTCATGTCTGACCGCTTCAGAGGGTTAAAACTCAGTAGCAGGATGGTTGGTCCCCCCACACTGCTGGGGCTATTCCCAGGGGATGCCTGTACCCCCTCCTGGCCCCCCTCTGTCCCTCCACCCCCAGTGGGAGGTGCTGGGGGGATGCTGGGGTGGCTGACACTTACCCATGCTGGGTTTCCATCATCTTCCAAGGATTCTTTACACCAGCAAAACCTCCTGAGATGTGGCTCTGCCGGGGTGTCACAGGCAGCCATGGCTGCAGGTCCCCAGCACTGTCACTAGGATAAATCTAGGGGCTTCTAAAGCTGGGGGTGGGGGTGGGTGTCTGCAGCTGAGAACCAGGACTTCCATCCTGAAGCTTTTCTGATTTGATTTATAAGAAGGGAAACCCTGGCTCCCGACATCCCCACAGTGGGAAGGGAAACTGTGGCAGGGAGCTTGCGGGGCAACTTCTCTTTCTTGGTGTAAGGGGGGTTGTGGTGGCACTGTGACACTTCCCCTGCCAGGGACGTCTGACTGCTCTGGCCCGAGGTCCCTTCCTGCAGGACAAGGCAAGTTTTGCAGGCAGGGGTGCCTGCCTGCCAGCTGGGACCCCCCCGCTCGGGAACTGGGAGCAGAGACTGTCCAAGGGAGCCCACCAAGGTGTGAAATCCCACTGGGAAATCATCCCGGCACAGTGCTGTCTGCCCTACGCTCACCCCACGGCAGGGCCAGCGGGACAGGCATGCCCACCCATGGGTGGCAGACCCCCACCCGCACACCCCTGTGTGCTATGGGCTGGGAGGGCTCTGACATCAAGATCAGTGGCTGCCATATCTGTGCGTTTGCAGGCATCTTGGCAGAGCTGGAGCTGCCGCTGGGGCTGCGGGTTGCTGCAGGGCCCTGACGGCAACTGGGGTGTCTGTGCTAGCAGGGAGAGCCGGGGCAGCACCCCGACCCCCACCCAAGCCAGCCAAGCACGGGGTGGCTGAATCCATCTGTCCCCTGCACACTGACGCAGGATATGAAGCTGGATGGCAGCAGGAGGTTCAGGCATGCCATGAACTTCCCAGCGGAGCTCGTGAAGGGCATCCAGGCACAGGGAGTGGAGCAGGAGCTTGTCTGCATCTATATCCACAGCCCCTGCATCTTCCAGGTGAGTCCAGGTCCTCATACCCCCCCCAAGCATCCTTGGCCAGCAGCACGCCTGCCCCATCACCCACCATCCACTGAGATACTCAGGGCGGGCAAGGGTGTCCTGGGGATCCAGGACTCCCCATGGGCACCCCAACTCTTGCAGGACACCCACAATAGCTCTGTGCTGAACAACTATGTGCTGGGAGCCTACCTGCGGAGCGGGCATGTGGCCGGGCTCAGCCAGCCTGTGGAGATCCAGATTTGGCATGACATGGTGTTGGTGAGCAGGACTCTAGTGTGGGCACAAGCAGGGGGGGTCCCCAGCACTGACGTTTCCCCTGGAGTTGGAGAAAGAGAAAGTGTTCCCTCTTTCATGGGGATCAGAACGTTTCTGGGGTTCCTGGGGAGCAGAGAGGGTCCCCAGCTCCTCCCCTCTGTCCCCTTTCCACCAGGATGCCTCCAATGCCACCTGTGTCTTCTGGCAGCCTGAAGCAGGTAAGTGTGGCTGCAGCCAGGACAGGGGCAACACCGACTCAGTGCCATCCCAGAGGCATTGCCCATCCTCCTTCCAGGCAGCCCTGGAAGGGCTCAGCATCCTCTCAATGTCCCCATCCCCTGGCCACTGTGCCACCCTCCAATGGTGGCTCTCCAGCAGGTGCAGGCAGCACAGGCAGCTGGAGCAAGGAGGGCTGCGAGACCACGCACAGGGAGGGCACCGTTATCTGCCACTGCAACCACCTCACCTACTTCGCCGTCCTGCTGGTCCACAGCCCTCCTTCCCTCTCATTACTTCCTTCTTCCTCCTTCCCTCTTACAACATCTCTCCTTCCTTCTTCCCACCCCCATGTTCCTTTCTCCTTCCCGTCTTTCTGCTTCCTCCTTCCTCCTCCTTCCGTCTTCCTTCTTTTCTCCTCCCTTCTTCCTCCTTCCCCTGTTCTCTTCTCGCCTCTTCCTTTTCCCTTTTCCTCCTTTCTCCTTGCCTATTTCCCTCCTTCTTTCTTCTTTCTTTCCTCCTCCTTCCTTCCTTCCTTCCTTCCTTCCTTCCTTCCTTCCTTCCTTCCTTCCTTCCTTCCTTCCTTCCTTCCTTCCTTCCTTCCTTCCTTCCT